GACTATAATTTCTTCCGTATGACCCAGCTCCACCGTCATAACCCGAAGGTTCGATGGAAGACATACTCGAACCATGCAAGAACTTAATGACGAGATTGATCTTGACAATTGTTGTGGTTCATACCGTGTAGGCTCAATGTCTTGCTTTGGTGATGATTGCTGGGGTCGACCAGATGTCGACATTTGAATTCCTGATTTTCTTTTCCAGACTAAGTTTCTACGTTTAGGGTACTTTGGCTTGACCTTTTGTTCTGCGATTAAGGTTGGTCTAACCTGCTTGATGTGAACTTGACTTACTTGTTGTTGGAGCTGATACTCCTTTCTTTTCCTCAGCATTCTCCTCTTTTGAGTCCGTGTCAAATTTGAACTACGATTTTGAGTTCGGCGGGCTTCATACCATTGACCTACAAGTGGGTCTCTTGGCACTTTCAGAGTTTGTCGATGTGGTGGATGAAGGTTTGTGCAAAGATCCTCTTGATCAGGGAAGTTAGAACCCCATCCACTTGGCTCAATCTTCCCGTTGTACGAAGGTGATGGAGCATAACTAACATAATAATCATATTTACCACTACGCTCTCCCAAAGTACCAATAGTCGGATCACCCTCTTCATACCTTTGCTTGAATGACTTAATAGCCTTATTACGACTTCGACGGCCTCTATGATGATTAACACCCCTAGGAGGAGTTTGTTCGTCATATGAATCAGTGAGGACCAAATCGCGGAATTCGTCGACAACTTCACTAGGCGGACGTCTTCGACTGTTGGAGTGATGTTTGTCTTGTTCCAATAATCGTCTACATTTTTCGCAAAAACGATACGGCTGATGCCCCCTGGTCTTTGTCCTTAATGACACCATCCCTGCCATTACAGGAAAAGGATCGACATCAACTTCCATCGGAAACTTACCTTTGTCTTCAGAGAATTTTATCTTCCCTTGCTTAATAGCTTCCTGGACGTTTCTTTTAAACACAAGGCAGTCATTGGTGGCATGGCTCCATGAATGATGCCATTTACAGTACTTCTTTCTTGCTAATTCTTCTTTTGTAGGTATAACCTGACCCTCCGTGAGTCTGATCTGTCCGTCAACTAATAATAAGTCAAATATTTCCTCTGTCTTATTGATATCGAAAGAATAAAACATAGGTTCCTTAGCCTTGGACATGAGGTTGGACTTTTCTTTAACTCTTGCTGGCTTTAGAGCCTTGCAAACATATGGCTTATCAATCACCATTTTAGCAAGAGCCACATTTGCTATATCTGCTGACTCAGTTTCATCCTCGCTCTCGTCAGCGTCAGCCCAACGAACTTCACCCCGTCGACCATACCTTTTATCTTTTTCCTGAAGGAGACTTTCATGCTTAGTAGCTATGGTTGATAATTGGAACAGATCTGAATATGGTTGTCCAACCATTCTTTCTCGGATTTCAAACTTCAGTCCATTAAAAGCGAGATCTGCAAAAGTCTTTTCAGGTAAAGGGACCAAACACTTATTCCTTGCCCTTTTAAACTTGGAAACAAACTGATCGACAGATTCATTAGCTAACTGTCTCATGGTCGATAGATCTGCTACCGACAAATCCGGCACAGCTCTTTGAAATTGGCAATGGAATAACCTTTCCATTTGTTCCCATGATGTGACCGAATTTGCAGGTAAGGCAGTATACCATGTAAACGCGGTTTTTGACAAGGATAAGGGAAATAACCTCAACTTCCAATAATCAGCATGAGCCGCATCACCACATTGAGCCAGAAAACGATTAACATGTTCAAAAGTGGACTGATCTTCCTCTCCAGTAAACAATGTAAATTCTGGCATTTTAAAACCTCTTGGATACGGTATAGTGTCCATCCAATCAGGATATGATTTTCTATAAATGTTTGGGAGGTATCCCATATCATGGCCATATCCCCTCATTACAGGGTCCACCACTAACTGATTTTGCACATGACCCACGACAGGCGCAGGAGCTTCAACATAATTAGGTGGCAATGGTTGATTCAAATTTTGATGAGGCAATTGGTAAAATGGCTGCTTTGTGGTAACCGTGGCTCTTTGCTGTTGAGGTGGTGCGCATTAATGTGGTACATTGTGAGCAATCAGAGGTGGGTTAGCTGGTGGGTTTAACTGTGCTGGCAATAGTTGCTGGATTACATTTGGACCCATAGGGGGTGGAAAAGGTTGATTTACGTTAGGCACTGCAGGCTGGGGTGCCTGATGTTGTGGTTGAATGTTCATCTGTTGAATCTGTTCTTGCCCCCTAGGCAAGGGTGTTGCAAGATTCTGAACATCTAGGACTACAGGTGGAGGATGTACCTGGATCACAGGGGGGCCATGCACCTGAGTAACCTGATGTCCTCTTTAGAAGTTTTCATCGATCATCGACTGTCGAGCAATTCCTCCATTTGGGTCCACGCTAGCGTGAGGTAATCCCTCGCTGGGTGCTATTGGCAAAGTTTCTCCCCTTGGTAATATCCGAATGGGTGGGGTCGGAGATGTACTTTACATCATTGTTCCAAACTGTATCGCAGGACCCCCTGATACTGACGGAAATCCTGTTCTCAGTTGGGTCGGTGTGATGGACCCTCCATGTTGACCTTGCGTGCATTCATGATAAGTGTTAATAATCAAAGGCCTAACCACTTCAGTCATACGCCTTACCACATAATCAGCGAACTCGTTCTGAGTTTCTTCGATAGTCCGCCTCATGGTAGAAAGTGCAACTGGTGTGAGCTCAGTTTGCCTTCTATCTTCAACACGCTGCCTCGACATATCTGTGACCTCCTCTCGAGATTGGTTAGCAACCTCGGTATGAAGAAGTTGAGCGGATGATGTCTCAGCGCGGGCCTTATCTTCCGCCATCGATGCAGCTTGCTCATCAGTAGTATTATCCGAGTTGGTTCTACTCCGGGTGCGTGGCATAGCACTCTCTCTACTTAACTCAATAGAGGTCCCACCGGGCATGCCAAAAAGATGTTTCGCCGGTTTTTATTCCGTCAAAAATCTTTCACCAAACGCTGCGTTTCGGATTTTATTAGAGGAGACCAGGGTCTTGAGTCAAACTTGGATAGAGAATGTCAAATGCGTTTATTAATCCCAATAGATGTTACACCCTGACTCGATATGATACCAAACTCGACAATACTAACAATGAAACGACAACTTGCAAATACTGAGACCAAGCTATGTCGGAATCTAATCAACGACACAGCTAATATGTGGTATTTACCATTTAAGGTACGCCAGAATCTAATCAATGACGTAACTTGAGAGAATATGACTGGAATCTAATCAACAGCTATATTCCAAGCACAACGCCGGAATTTAATCGACGACGCTGAACTAATGGCACAACATTGGAATTTAATCGACAATATTGAACCTGATAAAGACTCTTGCCAGAATTGAATTTACGACGCATAATCTGAAAATTACAGCTAAAACTACTCCTAATGTGCTAAAAGTAAAGCTAGATAAAAGATATGTTGTGTTGTTTACGAAAAGGGTTCTTCTTCGTTGGAAATCCTTGAGTATTTATAGAGCAGCTTGATAACTGTTGACCGCATTTCTCCTTGAAAGTCGTTTTCCACTTCCTTACGTTTCGCGTTTTAATTGCTTCCTGACTTATCGATGTTGCTTACGCTCCTTGGGCATCACGTAGTAGCTAATTTTCTTCCACGTGTCTCTTTATTTCTTCCTTGATCTTCACGCCCACGGTCATACCTTTACCTTTTGACACGTATAAATGAATTTTCCACCATGTATTACCATGATTTCGTGCAAAACTCTTTCGTCGACGTCACGTGCAAAGCTCGTGATCTTAGATTCGTCGACATCACGTGTAAAGCTCGTGGTCTTGGATTCGTCGACGTCACGTGCAAAGCTCGTGATTTTGGATTGGTCGACGTCACGTGCAAGGCTCGTGATTTTGGATTCGTCGACGTCACGTGCAAGGCTCGTGATTTTGAACTTGTCGACATCTCTATGACGTGTCCTGTCGATAATTACCTTAGGTCTTCTTAATGCCTCTGGGCCTAACGTGCGGCCTTTTTTGGATTTTCGCTATGTGGGCCGTACTTTATATCTTTTGTAACTTGTAAACGACCACTCTCACCAGGGGTAATTTTGGGTGTCAACAAATTCATAAGATGGCCTAGGTTTAAATTCACCGTGGACATTCAATTCCTAAAACGTCTCTAATTTCTAAATGCAGAGGAATAAAGAATGAGAATGCAAGACCATGCAACATTGATTTGTTGTTCAGAGTCAAATTCTATCATTATCACCGGGCTTGATCCCTTATTTTCACAAAATGCACGAGAGATCTTTGGCTGAAAATTTAGGTGTCAACATAATCCTTTGAGCGAGATTAGTCCGAAGTGCTTCTCATGCTCTATCAAATTCACCAGATTCGACGGACCACAAGACAGTAAGTCTGATCACCACAGCCAAAGCGGTCACGACATGTTCTTGCTTATAACCCGAAACCCGAAATTCTCCGCACTTCCATGGTTCTATACCAAGAACTTGAGTACTTCAACCTCGGATTTTCATGTTAGTTCAAGCTCGACACTGAGTTTGTGATATCTAAATTTCTTAATTGGAGTGATTTATGTGTTTCATTTTCGTGAATAGAAATTATATTTACTGAATTTGTGATATCCTAAGATTTTTAATCTGAGTAATTTACATGTTTCATTTTCGTGAATGGAAATTATAATTCTACCTTTCACTTCGAATTGTGACCAGCATAATCTGAGTTAATACCGAAAATTTTTGTTTCTTTTTTATTGCTTTGAAATCTTTCTTCGTCTAAGGGTGATATTTTAGATTAGTTATCAGTGATCTTGCAATAATTACTCATGGCACGGGAGCAGGAGATCTTATGTTTAAATCTCTTAAAACTCCTTGAACACCTAAATTTGTCTCGTAATATAATTAATTTCCATGCTTTAGTCTTAAATCAATTACGAGAAGCATTAGAAAATTAAAAAAGTACATTAAACTAAAAACATCTATTATGATCAGTCAGAAAATCTTACATGAATTTCTTTTTACCTGGAAAAGAAATTATGCCTTCGAAAAATGGGACTTTATCATTAGTTCCTCAAACCAGAGATATAGAGAAACTAAACATATGAAGAGCAAGAATGAATGTTTATATATGTATGATTGTTTACTGTTACAATAAGTACAATTCAGTTGTAGCAAGTGTGACGAAGTTGGTCTTCAAAATCTCGATCCATGCTATTCTCTCTCTGAACATCAGGACACAAAACCAGAAAACTTTCCACTTTGGCGCAACCTCTATATCGGGATAAAGCGCATCAACGATACCTGAGATGTGCGAGTGACCCGACGAACTTGAATTCATGAGGACTGCGTATTCTGTTTTTACAAACAAACATATGCAGTTGGAGAACGGTCTCTCAGGTTCAATGAGCTGGAGCTTCACCCTAGCATATGGTTGAATTTTTTATCCTTTCAAGTGGTGGGTCAGTATCTACCCACCATGGTCTTCAGAATGCTCAGAAGCAGATTGCCCAACTATTTCCGGGACATGATCAAGCAATCGATTCATTTCCTCGGGAAATTCGGCTTTTGCCCGGTTTGTCTTTCCTCCGACAACCACTGCTGTTCCATCTTGCAAGGCCCAAACCTTCAAAAATTTATGGAAGAGTGCAGATCGATGAGTACATGAACAAAGGGATATTTACATAAATTGTGATGCTAATTTGTTGGTTAGAAAAAGAACTGATGCTCATTTGGAGTAACCGTGTGTGTTATGCTCAATCACATTAACTCTGCTCAATGTCTAGTAACTTATGCCATGTCATGCCACACCTGATGACGAATCTTCTTGTGACCATGAAATAAACATTTACAGCCTTGATCTGTCAGGCGAAAGCATGCAGTTTCCTCCTTAATAAGGATGTAGTCGGCTCATTTCAAGAACAGAATGTTTACCTGGGTATGAGATAAATAACTGATGCACGTCGTGAGCATAAGAGCACCAAACCCAGCATATACAATTGGCACCCCAGGGTCGGTCTGAGATATAAGTAGGTTTAGCTCTGAGAAGCATCGAGAAAAATTTACTTTAAGATAGCTGCAAGGCCATTACCTTCAAGTTAAGACCAGTACTGCCTATGGCATCAACAATAACAACTTTCGTGCCCCCGATGTCAATTGGAAGCATAGAGTTAGGCCGCCGTACTCCAGCGAATTTACCATCTTGATCATAAAGGATAATTGATTGCAGATCACGAGCAAGCATTGATCTGACCATACATTATAAATGAAAAAGAAGTTAGATTATATCCATCAGAAAATAAAATGAAACGATTAGACCTATGTTGGAAGTTAATAATATAGCACAAGATATTACTAATCCTCAGGTAGATGTAAATTTTTTTGGTCGAACAGGTAGATGTAATTCACATATCAATACATGCAACTGATTTTCTTTCTAATCACAATAGTGGTTTGCTTGTAATTTCACATATGTATAAACAAAAAACACTCCATAGCAAACTGCCCAAAGGTCAAATTCTGCCCCTAAAAAGCTAATGTAGATTTTTTTTTATAGCAAATTATGCCATATTTTTGTCCTGCTCTTCTTCCATCAACCTAGAAATAGGTGTCCATAACTGAGAGTTAAAGATTCTCAGATCTTCAAGCAACACTAATATATATCCCAAAATTGCCTAACTAACAAGGAACTTCAAAGTGAAGACTGGAGCAAAAAAGAACTACTCTGGTCCGGTTTTCAGATTCAGAAATAACCTCAAAAAACATCTGCCTTTACATGTTCCTCATAATTAAAGGAATAAATCTTAATCCGTGGTCCCACAAATTAATATATGCAGAAGTCAGAGTGTCTACTACACATGCAGAGAGACACGTACATTCCTTTCAAGCTAGAGGCATCCGTGTCACCGACCGGCAAGAATGTCCCGAACAGCTTCTTGTCTCCGTTGATCTTCAGAGGTGCCATGGGCAAATTGAAGGGCCCTTCACCGTCCTTAAGCACTTGTAGAGCAGCAAAACTCCAATCTGTCTGGTATATTGTGAATCCACCATATCTCAAAGGGTCATTTACACTAATTGTTTTTCTCATAACCTCCTTTCCACCAAGGTCGAACAACGACAAATCAGTGTGAAACTGTGATACCTGCATCAATGAATATTTTAAGATGGTCAAGCAAGAAAAATAAAAAAATAAATGGAAGAGTTCCCACAACGGACCTACTGGAACCTCTTGCTAGCAAGGACTCGTAAAATTTTCAGTTCCATGAAGGTTCAATTATTTGTCATCACAACAACATGAGAATGCAGAATAACCATGAGCTAAACATAAAAGCTTGTCTTTGTTTATCTTTCTATTCTATCTTTGACATGTACAAAAACGGCATACCTCTCCACTATCATAGAAGTCCATGTAGAATCTGTTGACATGAACTTCAGTGTTAAACGCTTCAGAGGGATTAGAGAGAAAACCAGTAGGTCCCAATACATCTCCAACAATGAAATTTAGCCCCTGAGGGACAGTAACTGAACCTTTGAAGCTTCCTGTAGCACTAAGGGTTCCGCCTGCCATTATCAGCAGCATCGCCAAGTGCACACCAATAGGAGCAAAGCGGCCCGCCAAGCCCTTGAAAGCATATAGTGATGGTCCTTTAAGAAAAACCTAGAGTAAATTTAAGAAGAATAATTAGAGAAAATATAGTATCCATGGACTGGCAACCTTATTGCGTAAGATAGGCATCTCATGGCTATTGTCAATGAACTCATCTGAACAGGTCTTACGTCCCTAATGCCAGTGAAAGAATGGACTTGTCAATTAATTTCAATTAGCACTCATGGTGTTTCACTTATTGAGATAGAATAAATTCAACTTTGCACTATCATAATAAATAGATGTGGGAGTTTTAGAGCACCCATTTTGACCAATATGCAAACTAATTGAGCTACTATAAACACAAGAATTGATTGATCAAAGGGAAGAAGAGAAAGTACAATGGTTGGACCTCATATCCAGAGCCCATCAAAATGACGCCCAAATCTCGCACTGATGCTCTAGACAGCCTCTCCGAAAAGTCCTGCTTTCGAATGGCCTCAGTGGATTGCAAAAAATTCCACCTGCACATACCAATTTAAGCAGCTAAGATATTGCTGCGGCGACTTAACTGAAGAGGAGAATTTGTAGTGAGAGTAATCGAACCTCCTTGCAACCTTGACGAGCGGAATTTGCGTTGTGTAAGTGCAGGCCATGAGTGAAGCGCCCAGAAGAACCAAAGTCCCGAGAAAAATAGGGGACGAGTACATGTGGTCAAAACCGAGTGTGAGAACCCATCTCCAAGTAAAGAATCCCAAAGCAGGATTGTCTTCGGGGTATCTCTGGAAATAAAAATCAGGAGCCTCTCCTTGATCAATGACAGTGCCTATACAGTGACAATATATCAGGCTAGTGTTGCACCAATCCTACAGAATTCCATGTAATTCCTCATCACTTCATCTGCATGAATGTGAAGAATTGGGCAAATAGCTCACAATTCACAGTTTCAAACAACAGAGCAAACAATTGAAACTGAAAAATTCACAACACGAAAGCTTTCCTGCACCAAAATGAGCCTCTGTTTACCACACCTCCACCACCCACCTCCGCCCCACCTCCCCCCACCCCACAAAACCCCCACCCCCCGCCCCCCAAAAAAAAAAAAACACAGACATGCATTCTATCTCAACTCAGCCAGGCCTAAGCTAACCCATTTCACAAAATTCAATCCTAATTACAAGCAAACATTAAAGAAGCAACCAGCAAACCAAAAGGAAAAGATCAACGTGAAAAAAGCGAAAAAAAGGATTCGAACATACCAAGAGCCATGAGTGCAGCCACAGTGGCCATTTCTCCAATTGCCAAAGGCAAGTTAGACAAGACAGACAAAACCCTTCTGGGCAACCTCTTCAACCACAACCCCCTGACCCCATTTTTATCATTCTCAGATGATTTCTCCGCTTCAACACCATCTCCTTTCTCAGCCAGAGGAGGAGGCATATTCTCAGAGAGCAGGATTTTCTTGGAGATGAGCTTTGTGCTGCTTTTGGTGGTGTCTTTTTGAGAGGATTTCAGCTTGCAGGAAATGGGGGAAGAGAGGTTTCTCCGGGTGGTCTTGGGGTGGTGGTGAATTCGGAAGGGTTTAAGTGGAACTCTTCTGGGTAAAGGTTGGTTCAGAAGATTGGTGAACGTGTTGAGTGACTCCATGAATGGAGAATTCTGTGAGGAAGAGGGAGAGGTTTCTCAGAGCACAAGTAGTGTCTGAGCTTGAACTGCCATTTTCCAGTTGGTGGTTTAGTGGGTTTTTGTTCATTTCAGATAAGGTTGCGAATTTTTTATTCGCGAGAAATTTTGCTCCTCTGATAAAAGCAATATATATTTGTGATTCTTTGGGTAAGACAGTGATAAAACTTGATCATTAAAAAATGCTTAGTTTAATTCATTAAAATTAGGGATAATTACACAATAGTCTCTAAATTTTGTCTTAATATACAATGTCGTCCCTAAATTTTAATTTAGTTAATATGATACCTAAATTGTAGCCCAATCTGTATTGTTGTTCCTAAACTTTTACTTTGTTCAATGTGATTTCTGAACTTTTGATAAATATTTAATTTATTTCTCAAACTATATGAAAATATTTAATGTTATCTTTCCATTAATTCAAGTTCAAGGAATTGCTGATTTAGCTTCCAATCTTATAAGTTTGAATGGTAGACCAAAAAAATAACGTTACATGTGAATTATTCTTGATATTCAACTCAAATTAGAATATAAACAGTTCGTGTCTGCAAACAACATGGATAATCATTTTTCCAAATTGAACAAATTAAGCAAATTCAAAGGATTATTATATTCTAATATTAGTTAAACATTGTACATGGATAATACACATGTAACATTTTTATTTGTCCATTGTTCAAACGTATCAGATTGGATGCCAAATCATCAAATTTCGTTAACTTAAAATAATGGAAAGACAACATTGAACATTTTCATATATTTCAGAGACTATGAATAAATACCTCTAACCAAAATAAAATTGAATATGTATCACCGAATTAAACAAATTAAAAATTCATAAAAGCTATTACTTATTTAGAAACCACGTTAAATAAATTAAAAGTTCATGGATGATATTACACATTGAACAAAAGTTTATGGACCATCTATATCTTGTTTCCTTAAAAATTACCCTTTTTTACCAAGACCATAATAAGTTGTTTAGAGAATCAGTATATGATTATTCAATTCAATTTTAAATGCAATTAAAATTACCCTGTCTTAACGGTAACATCACAAGTTGTGTAGTCAGGTCTCAAGTGACAAGCATATGTACAACTTATTACACTTTTGAATTCTGATAAGATTGCTGCAATCAATATATATATAAATATATATATTCTCATCGAAAATTAGGTACGCCAAGAATATGTGCATGAGTTGATCGGCATCGCATGTGGGCCTCACGACATGGCTTGATATTTAGGCTCGATATTTTCTCTTCTTCTTTTTTTTTTAATTTTATTCTGTTCCAATCTTTTGGCTACTGAAATAATCTGGCCGGCAATGGGCGGGGGCCAATCTGTAATTATGAGGACTTTGGAGCGCCCTTTCGCAAACAAGATCCAGAAGCAGTGGATCCTCATCCGCTCTCGTCAAAAACACGGCACACACGCTCTCTCTCTCTCTTCGTCTCACTCGTTTTCATCATCAATTCTGAAAACCCACAAGAGAACAGAAAGGGGAGAATCAGACCCTCCATTGCCAACCCTTCAAGCTCACTGGTATGCCCTCTCTCTACTCTCTCATTGCTGTTCTCTCTCTGCCCGCTCGTTCATACACTTCTGGGATGTCCATTTGATTGCCCAGAAAGTTCTCAGGAAAAAGAAAGGGTTGAGAAGGGAAACCCAGAGGAAAAAAATTGGAGCTTGGGAGGTTTTAGAAGCTTGTTCTTGCAGAGGGCTATTTGGGTTGATTGATTTCGTTTTGCTGATTTGCATTAGCTGTGTTTTCGCGATTCTTCTGGTTTAGGAAAGCTGAATTTAGATGGAGAATGTGACTGGATATGTTGTTAGCTGTGGGGGATTCCTCTGAGTTGATGAGCTGTTTCATTTGATTCGTTGTCCTTCCTTGTAATTAGTGTAGTTCTTTGGAGTATTCGACACGGGCATTGCTGTCATTAATTAAGTGTTAAATCCGTTTAACTTGGGTTGGATGGGAGTTCAATCTGTTTTAACAGTTTTCTGATTGTTTTCTCAGTTTGATTTGATTTGTTTCCTTGTTTCTTCAGTGGAAAAAAAGCTGTTGCTTCATTTACTCGTGCATACATTGCTGTCTTCTTCTCTGATGCTGTTGAATTTGCTGCTGTGCTTGCTTACAAGTTACAACGGGACTAGTTTTTGATTCTCTGTGCTGTTCTCCTTGAGCAGTTATCCGTGGTTTCTAGTGTTGACGGGCTTAAAGAATTCTTCAACCTTCGAACGTGAATGCATCTATTGGTTGACTTACCATTATTGGGATTGCATCAATACTTCAAGCCTCTGGTGCATTCTGTAGTGTAGCATCCTCACCCTTCCCCTTCCAGAATTGTTGACCCCATGACAAATAGATGTCATTATGATGTGGTAAAAATTTAAGGCCAGTTTTCAGAGCAGAGAGATTGTTGGCTGCATTCTTGCTAACATCTGGTAAGCAAAGTGAAGGAACCTAACGGTTCTAGTTAGCTATATTTCCTGAAAGGAAAAAACTTTATCAAGAAGGATGCTTCACTCGCTGTGCGTCCCTGCTACACTAGCCTCCTCTGCTTCTTGTTCCAAAACTCTTAATGTCCATGCTAAAGCTTCCTCTCCATACCAACCTCTTTACCTCAGATTTCGTACATCTCATGTTGAAAACGTTCGGTATCTAAGGACCCTTGGCGTAATAGACCATGTGTCCAGGCATCAAAGACTACCTTCACCAGATACCATTGACCGAGTCCTCAACATTGTCAACTTTCTTAAATCCAAGGGCTTTCTGGAGTCGGACTTCCCACGCCTTGCTTACCTTTGCCCAGGGCTCTTTGCTTCTGAACTTGATCCTACTGATATTGCACCCGTTTTTGAATTCCTCACTGTTGACTTATCAGCGTCTGCTCAAGAATCATGTAGTTTGATCAACAAGTGCCCTCAAATACTATTTTCAGATGTTGACTACTGTTTAAAACCTACCCTTAACTATCTCAGGCAATTGGGAATAGAGAGGCTTAACTTTCCAAGTACTCTAAATGCACATTTGCTGAACACACGGGTGGAGAAGCTTCATGGGAAGGTTAAGTTTTTGAGGAGCATTGGCCTGACACATCAAGAAATATCTAGAATTTGTGCACGACTGCCATCCATCTTTGGTTACAGTATAGATAACAACTTGAGGCCCAAGTATGATTATTTGGTGGAGGAGATGGAGGGGAACTTGGAAGAACTGAAGAAATTTCCGCAATATTTTGCATTTAGTTTGGAGAAGAGGATAGCTCCTAGGCATTTGCATCTGAAAAGGAGAAATGTTAGACTTCCATTGAAGAGGATGTTGCTATGGGGTGATGAGAAATTTTATGCAAAGTGGAAATGAATTAAAAATAATTGTTAGTTGCCGGTGTCCCTAATTTCCGTCATTTGTATTCTACTATAGGAATAAGTGATGGATACTTGTTCTCAAATAGTTAGAGAAGTCATTACTTTCTTTTAATCTTTTGGGATGTATTGTTAGGTGTAAGATACTTTTTCGTTAAGGACAAGGAACATATATTTCTGCAATATGATTTGCCTCCATAGCGCAAATGAAGTAATTGATTTTTGAGTTTTATCTTTTTTCCTAAGGCTGGTGATATCAAATCAGTGTAAATCAGTTTTACTATTTCTTTTAGTAAATGGCGGTGTTGCTTGTGCCTATGTAACTCCAGAGCATCTCTCTTCTAGCTTGCCCATAAATGATTCTATATATGATTACTTATTGTAAGATATTGTTGATCCTATTTAGTGTTATCCTTCAACAGCTCTGTGTGGCATGTGCATTGACAAACTTCCAATATTTGTTTGTCATTTCATTGAGTGCATCTACAGTGGCCAATCTCAATTACATTGAGCAGGTAATGCGATCAAGTTTTTGAGACGGAAGACAAAAGAGAATGACATCCTGTGAGCCATCAACTTCAGCTGATGGAAAAGGGCGTGCTTGTTTAACCCTGCCAAAGCTGGTTAGAGGTGTTGTGTGCTTATTGGTGCTACTCTTAACTGCTTTTATGATGTTAGTGTACTTTGGCTTTCTGACTGCCGTCCCACTGAGACTTTTCAGCATACATCATAGCAGAAAAGCACTGTCATTTTTTTTCGGCATCTGGTTAGCTTTGTGGCCTTTTCTCTTTGAAAAGATAAACAAGACGAAAGTTATTTTTTGTGGAGAGACTGTTCCTCCTAGGGAACGTGTATTGCTCATTGCAAACCATAAAACAGAGGTTGACTGGATGTATTTGTGGGACCTTGCGTTGCGGAAGGGATGCATAAATTACATAAAGTATGTTCTCAAGAGCAGCTTGATGAAGCTGCCAGTATTTGGCTGGTCATTTCAGCTTTTGGAGTTCATCTCTGTGGAGAGAAAGTGGGAGATTGATGAATCATCTATGCATCGGATGCTTCTAACATTTAAAGATCCTAGGGATCCCCTCTGGCTTGCTCTTTTCCCTGAAGGCACAGATTTCACGTAATTTCTCTTGTTACTTTTTAATAATGCTGAGTACTTCATTTATCCTTTATTATCTCCACATCTATGCGTGTTATCTTTGGATTACTTTAGAGGCCATACCAAGGTCATTGAAATTTAAACCAGTACCTTTACGACATTTTTCCAGATGAGATGGAGGGCTGGTAGTACACAGAGAGGATTTTTTCAGGGACTAGCAATTTGAGACCTTGTATTTGACCAGAAAGATTTAATCGGTTCTACTCTACCGCTTAAAAAATGGGTAACCCTTATGCAAATGCTATATCAGGACTTTGGGCAGCACTATTAATATGTTCATAGGATGTGCATAATGATCCCTGTTTGCATGGATTCCAATTTTTTAGCAACCTAATAGGGGAGCGCGAAAAGAGATGAAATAGATAGGAGATTGGAGAGAGAACATTTAATAAGGACCAGTCTTCAAGCTTTAGAGAAGATCTTTTCCGAAACCAGACCTCTCCTTAAATTTCTAAATAATAGGCTTCCAGATACGCTTGTTTTTGAAATGAGCTTGCAAAGGGAGATCTAAGTAGGTGATTAGGAGAGCGAGAGTAACCTTACACATAGAGAGTTTCATGAATTCATACTTTAAGGAAGAGAAAGAATTACTATCTTCAGTGTTGAAAATGATCGTCTTGGAAGAAATTGGTCGCAAAATTTGTTTGGAAGAAATTGATTGGATTTCTAGAAATTAGAAGAGCAACTTGTGGTATCAATCTCAGGAGGCGGATTAGAGACAAGTGAAGTGAGTTTCTTCTTCATACATCTTCAAAAGGGGGAAATGGGAAAAGGACAAACTTTTGGCTTGGCACTTGGTGTAGGAATATGTCTGCCAAAGATCGTTTCCTGGACCTTTTAGTATTGGTAGGAACAAGGTGGACCTTGTGTTTGAATGGTATTTGTCCATTGATGGGAGAATCATCTGGGAAGCTGACTTTTCAAGACAAACCCAAGACTTGGAACTCAAAACATGTGCTAGTGTTTTCTGATTTACTGTATAATTAAAAGATTTCTCTCAATTTTGCTGATTCTTTGTGTTAGGATAGTTGTAAAGATGGAACTTTATCTCTAAAATTTTCTTGCAGTCTGTTAATATAAAAAGTTAATGAAGGCAGACCCTTGGAGAGTTATTTGGAAAGTGAGAGTACCGACTGGAGTTTCCTTTTTTTGGTTTTTTTTTGCTTCAAAAGCAACTTGGAACATATTCTCCCCTTAATAAATTTGCATTAAAGAGGCAAAGTGTGGGTTAATAGATGCTTCCTTTGCAAAGCACAGGCAGAGACGGTGAGACGTCTTCTTCTTCATTATCCTTGGACAGATTGTTTTGGGTGACCTCTTATGCTTTCATCAGGCTAACTTGAGTTATAGGATCGTAGGATCTATTGAACATGAATTATGGGCTTGCAAGGCCCCCATTTGTCTAGCATTAAGAAAGAAGGGTTTCTTCCATACCTTACTCTGGTTCTCTTATTGATTTGGAAAGAACATAAGAAGAGAACCAAGGAGAGAAGATGCCTCTTTTGGTAATTATTGAAGATCGGCTGAAGTTGTTACATTTTCTGGTATAGTGGGAACTTGTGCATGTAAATGCTTTGATTGACATTGTAGATGCTTTATCTCGTAACCTAGCAACAAGGGGGTGTGCAACCCTTGGTGCCCCATACTAGTTTGGTTTTGACCTATCAAAAGAGGAGTATCTTTTTGTTGCAACTTCGAGATGTTTTCTGAATTCTGGTTCATCTATGGAGGAGGTCCCAATTCTTCTGATTTGATATGTTGTTACCCAAATTTATTATGCTCAAAACAACTTGGTAGGCTATGAGATGATTAGATATTGGTCCACAAGTTCCTCTGTGGCCAATCTGCTGTTACCGACCCTCTGCATCCTTCCACCGAGCCTGCTAAGAGGTGACTAATATACCTACTTAACAGTTAAACCTACTAGTTAAATCATGTAAACCGTATCAACAATTTATTCAAGAATTGTTTAATTGAACTTGCCCCTTTTCTTGGCTTGTGATAAAATTTCGTTTATCTGAAGAGATTAAAAGTGAGGTTACATTCACAATCCCAATAATCCAGTTCCAAGTTCAGTTGTATTCAAAACGTCAATTGATAGAAGGGACACCTAATATAAAATGATATTTAACTCAATACGATCATCTGTGCTTCGTAGCTATCTCAGAAAAATTTTGACAAGATGTCTTGTTGTTCATTAGGATAATGGATCTTTAAATTCTGCCCACAGATAGAAGAACTTTGTTCTGTTTTTTCTGTATCCTTGTATGCCTAGTGGATTGAGCCTAAAATGTTCACTGCAGTGAGCAGAAGTGTGTCCGAAGTCAAAAATATGCTGCTGAAAATGGCCTACCAATCCTAAAAAATGTGCTGCTTCCAAAGACAAAGGGGTTTTATGCATGCTTGCAGGAGTTGCGGGCATCTCTGGATTCAGGTTCTCTTATTTTTGCATCTGCTTGGACTGATGGAGTGGCGGGTTGATATTTCTAACTGAGGCATCCATATGGACCTCATAGGTTCCACATAAATTTATAAAACAGCACTATTCTATTTCGGTAGTCAAAAATAGTAAGCAAGTGTTGTTTGATCATTTTTTACCAGGACACCTCCAAGTCAAACTTTCTAATGTTGAAGCAAATTCATCAGTTTTTCCATGTGGAACTTGAGAAGCTATATCTTAATAAGCACTTGTTTCAAGATTTGCCATGAAAAATCAGGTGGTATGTCCTGTGGTTTCTCAAAATATTTTTCGTCCTATGGAATCTAAGAAAACTGAATTATAGTTTTCTCCTTTCCGCAATGATATAGGTGATGAAATCTTCTTGATTTCTTCTACTACTGAAAAAGAGAATACATGAATTACAGTCCCTATATCTTGCGCTTAAGTGAGAAGAAACAAGTATGGCAAATATTGTTCCAGGGAAAGACAAAAAAATAGCACTCTTACTAGAAATTCAGTGAAAATGAATCGTCGAAGTTTTCCTTGCTACTGTTTCTTCCAGCTTGAGTAAGCTTCTTTCCTCTATTGCAGTTTATGATGTGACCATTGGCTACAAATACCGTTGTCCATCTTTCATGGACAATGCTTTTGGCGTCGACCCCGCAGAAGTTCATGTGCACGTGCGACGTATCCGCCTCAATGACATCCCGACGTCCGAAAATGAAGTCACTTCTTGGCTGATGGACACATTCTGCTTCAAGGACCAGTTGCTCTCTGACTTCCATTCCAAGGGCCATTTTCCTAATCCAGGAACAGAAAAGGAACTTTCGACAGTGAAGTGCCTTCTGAATGCTTTTGGGGTTATCTTCTTGACCTGCACATGTACCTATCTCACATTTTTCTCATCCATTTGGTTTAAGGTGTATGTTTCTTCCGTTTGTGCATATCTGGCAACTGCAACCTATTTTAACATTCGGCCACGACCAATTGCTGGCTCTGTCAAAGCTGTTATTACTCGCAACATTGCCAAGCATTGATGAGGAATAATTCAGAATCTATAATTTCTTTCTCCATTATTTGATATCAACAGTGTTGAAATCTGTCTTACTCTAAATCCTTCTGTCTCAAGTTGTCTGGATTTACCCAGTAGTTTTCTTGAGGAGTACTCTGTTAGGGATGACGAATGTTGGCCGGATATTTTTTCTTCTCATGGATTATTTCGTTTTGATGGGTTTCTGTACCTGGTCTTTCATTTGGTTTATGCAGCTTTTATGTGTTGTCTGTCGTAGCTACTACTTGCTGCTAAAAGAACCTGACAATTTCTATATAACAGTTAAGTTTCGTATCAGTCATCTGGACTAGTTTAATCAACAAGCGGAACTTCCCTGAGGACTAAAACGAGGGCTTTTACTTTGAATATTGACAATTTCCCATCCGACCCGATACTTCCAATTGCCGGCATACCTGCAAAGTTTTACCATAGGTTTTGACATGATCTCTACATAATCGTAGTTAGCGTCACTTATTTAGGCTCGTCGATTTAATCTTAGCTCTAACTTAAAATCAACAAGGAAAGTATCCTTGTAATATATCATCCCTGGAGGGTTGTCCTGAGGAGGGAAAACGTCGACCGTTGTAAGAATGGCCATCCTTGACTGTCATATGTCTGTCTCATTTCATCCAGCTTTGGTGAATATTTTTTAGCATGACGTAGGAAAATAAACTGTGATAAGATTGGGCCTAATTCCCTAAAAATCCAAAATTTTAGATCTAGTATCAATTCTGCCTTAAGCTTCTTCTTTTTTTGTCCGAAAAAAAAAATCTCAAACTTTAGATCCATTCTCAAATCTACTCACAACTTTTGTTTTGGTTAAAAAAAACCCCAAGTTTTAGGTCTGATCCAAAATCTACCTCCAACTTCTTTTTTTGTCGAAGAGAAAAATCATCAATATTTACTCTAATCCCAAATCCACCTCCATTTGTCCTCTGTCCAAAAGTTGCCGTTAGTCATCCCTAAGTTTTATATCCTAAAACAATTTCATTTTAGAGATAATATTTCTTGTCGCCTTGCTGATGTGGATTTGTTATTGACGTAGAAATGCCACGTCAAGTTAGGACTAGACCACGGGTGTATATTCGATAATAGATTGAAAATTGGTGATTTTCTTAGACAAAACAAAATTCGTGGTAGATTTGGAGCTGCACCTAAAGTTTGGAGTTTTTTTCTAAGACAAATAAAAAGTTCATGATAGATTTGAGATTAAACCTAAAGTTTAAGGTTTTTTCCAAGATAAAAAAAGGTTCAGGACAGAATTAGGACTAGACCTAAAGTTTGAAATTTTCTAGGGAATTAGGCTGATAAGATTGTGCTTCAAACGTCAACATTAATTCGGGAAAAAAGGACATTACAAATGTTATAACTTTAGTACAACGCTCATTTGAGTGCTATAACTTTTTTTTCGATTATTTGAGTGCCTAAACTTATGTACCGCTTACTTCTTTTTTTTTTGTCAAAATCGCTTACTTGAGTGCCATAACTCTTTTTTTCTGATCACTTAGTGCCATCTTTTTAATCGATCACTTGAGTGCTATAACTTTTTATAAACGTACATCCGAGGTGCTATGCCACATTGAATTTCTGATACTTGGGTAAACGTTTTTAAAAGTGTTGGCACTCTAGTAATTGATTGAAACTCATGACCCTCATTGTCAACTTTTTTTGGAAGTTATCATACTTCAATGATCGGAAAAAAAAAGTTATGATACTAAGTCTTTGCATGAAAACCATTCAGTTCGTCCGATTTTTTGTTCCCAAAATCAGTTTTGGACCGAAAACCCGTTTTAACGCAATTTCATTTTTCTATTTCGGGACAAGTTTGCTTCTAAAGCGATTCGAAACTAGAAATGAGAACCAAAAAAAGTTGGTTTTTCATTTACGGAACAAAAGTGAGAACCATTTACGAGGAATTCATTTTCTTCAACACACATATTCATATGGAAGTCACGATCTTTGAGATGAGAAAAAAAGCAAAAAATCAAAAATCAAAAATTTCAAAACTTAATAGAATGGTTTAGAATCTATGCTACCCACTTTCGGTGAAATTTAAATTTTTTTAGGTACCGAAAAAAATAAATAAAAATAAAAAATTTCAAAATTTCACAAAATGGCTTAGAAAACCTATGGCCACCCACTTTGAGCAAAATTTAATTTTTTAGTTGCCAAAAAAATAAAAAATTCTAAAATTTAAAAACTTCACGGAATATCTTAGAATACCATGTGTACACCAATTTGAGCGAAATTTTATTTTTTTAGGTGCCGAAAAAAAAAAAAAAAGTAAAAAATCAAAATTTCAAAACTTCAAGAATGGCTTGAATACTTGTGGCCATCCACTTTGAGTGAAATTTAAATTTTTTAGGTGCCGAAAAAATAAAAAAATAAAAAATTTCAAAACTTCACGAATAGGCTTAAAATACTTGTGGCCACCCACTTTGAGTGAAATTTAAATTTTTTATATTCCAAAAAATAAAAATAAGCAAAAAGTAAAAATTTCAAAACTTTCTGAGAATGGCTTAAAATACCTGTGTACCCACTTTGAGCGAAATTTTATATTTTTAGGTTCCAAAAAAAAAAATTTCAAAACTTCACAAAATGGCTTAGAATACTGGGCCATCCACTTTAAGCGAAATTTAAATATTTTTAGGTGCCAAAAAAAATAAAAAAAAATAAAAAATAAAAAACTTCACATAATTGCTTAGAATACCTATGGCCATCCACTTTTAGTGAAATTTAATTTTTTTTAGGTGTCGAAAAAAAATAAAAATAAGCAAAAAGAACAATTTTCAAAACTTCACAGAGTGGCTTAGAATACACATGGTCATCCACTTTCGGTGAAATTTAATTTTCTTTAGGAACCAAAAAATATTAAAAAAATCAAAAATACCATTTGGGCATCTAAAAAAATTAAATTTTACTCAAAGTGGGTGGCTAGAGGTTTTGTAAGTCATTCGCGAAGTTTTGAAATTTTGATTTTACGTTTTTTTCACCTAAAAATTTAAATTTCACTCAAAGTGGATGGCTATATGTATTCTAAGTCATTCTATGAAGTTTTGAAATTTTTGATTTTTTTCTTTTTTCACCTCCAAAAATTAAAATTTCACTCAAAGTGGGTGGCCATAGGTATTCTAAGCCATTCTGTAAAGTTTTGAAATTTTTGAGTTTTTGAATTTTTTGGGCACCTTAAAAAATTTAAATTTCACTCAAAGTGGGTGGCACATGTATTCTAAACTATTCGTGAAGTTTTGAAATTTTTGATTTTTTTGGCACCTAAAAAATTTAAATTTCACTAAAAGTGGTGGCCACGGGTATTCTAAGCATTCTGTGAAGTTTTGAAATTTTTATTTCTTGATTTTTTTGAAAAAATTCAACAAATTTCCTATTTTCCCGAAATCTAAATTTTTTTATTTTCTCGACGTTTTGATGATTTTTCTGGAATTTTTCAATTTTTTGGGATTTTCTGAATTTTTTAAAGATTTTTATGAATTTTTAGGATTTTTATTATTTTTATTCCATTTCTAAAAAATGGATTTTTGTTCTGGAAATAGAATTTTCTATTGTTTATCAAACGGGTTTTATTTCGGAAATAGAAATTTTGTCTTGTTATCAAACAGGTTTCGTTCTAGAAATAGAAATTTTTGTCATTATCAAACGGGTTTTTTTTCGAAACTCATTGAGGAACCAGAAATGAAAAATCTATTTCTGGTTCAGAAACTCATTCCGGAACAGAATGGTTATCATTCGCTATCTAAGTGAGCGCCGTGCAAAAATTATGGCACTTATATTGTCCGTATTCCCAGCAATTAGTGTGACGTCCCAGAATGTCACTTACTAAGGATCGATTTAGTCTCCTTTATGTCATTATGCAAGCGGAAGAAAATTATCATCTTAAGCATTTATAACATGAATGATAAGTAAGCAACATTATCACTGACTAATGGGGGGAAACATACATGCATTTCATTGATACTTATTTACATATGCCGGGTGATAGGAACGATATTAACATGAGGAACCTAATCTGGGAATATTCAAAAAGATGCATTACTCCCTAGCCACCATCTATGTGACGCCCCACGGCCGTCACTAACCACATCACCCGTCCTCACAGTCCAGGTCAAAAAGGTACGATTGTGACAAACAAAAGTTGTTTCCCCCATATGTACTACACCAACCTCCAAGCTCTACTCCTCGCCTTCGAAGTCTACCGGTGCACCATATCGAGAGATGGGAGACGCAGGAATTGGGGGCATGTCTAAAGATCTATAAAAATAGATAACAATAGGAGTGAGCTAATGCTCAACAAGAGAAACGACTAGCTTATAAATCAATCGATCGAACTAACTCTCGGTTCCTAAGACACATCTAGCATGAAATAATCGATGCACACTATAATGAACGCACACGAACTGAATGCAACATTCATAGTCACATGTATAATGCTAGCATGCATTGTATGCATCCCACGTTTCATTTCTCAATCATGTCATGTCATAGGGTTCATCCCCATCTCACGGTTAAACCGGTTTGTTGGCCGGTCCGTGCGGGTCAATTTCGGTTTACTGTCCGGACTTCCATGGCTTATTGGCCACAAGCATCTCACTCCGAGGCATCCCAAGCACAAGTACAGGGGCATCCCAGCACACAAAATAGAGGCATCCTGACTCCTCTGAGGCATCTTCCTGTTTACTAACCGGACTTCCGTGGCTTACTGGCCAGAGGCATCTCACTTCGAGGCATCCCAAGCATAGACATAAAGGCATCCCAACACACAGCATAGGGCATCCTGACTCCTCCAGGGCATCTTCAGGTTACTGTCCGAACTTCAGTGGTTCGCTGACCACAGGCATCTCACTCCGAGGCATCCCAAGCACAAGCACAGCGGCATCCTAGCACACAGCACATCAGCATCCAACTCCATCGGGGCATCTTGGTATTTAGCCAAGGCATTCACTTCCGGTTTGCTGGCTGAACTTCCAAGGTTTGCTGGACTTGGGCATTATATAACATCTTTCTCTCACACACATCTCAGGTGTGACATTCCGAATTTTGGCCCAATTTTGGGATTTATAAAACGTATAATTCGTCAGTGTGCTTATAGTAAAATCTCGCCCGGGAACTGATCACTCTCGGTTATTGTTTTTAAAATTGAAATTTCGCTAGAATTGCACTCGATCGAATTTGGC